GCAGGGCACGTGGCTGCTCCTTTCTTCCTTCCCATGTGCCTTGCAGACGGCCAACCACTCAGAGATGGACCCAGAGCAGGACACATGCCAATCCTCGCCAATCCTCAGCTCACTAACTGGTCTCCATGCTGCCATATAGAGAAGATAAGTCAGACACAAACCTCCCCCTTTCTAGGTCCTAAGGGACCCTGGAAGCTCCCCAAGATCCCCCTGCCCTCACCCCCACATTTTATATCGCTTTGCTGAAACCTGGCCCCACTGCAGGGCTGGCACCAACCTAGAGATTGAAGTGGCCCTTCCCACACACGGCCGGGGAAATGGCTGGCAGACAACAAGCCGGTGAGCAGGGGCCTGCAGGGGTGGGCAGCACAGGCAGCTGCTTCTTTGCTGCTCCTCTGTCTTGCAGATGGATGTCTGGACACACACGGAGCCAGAGCACCGCAGCCTCCGCCAACCGGCCGTGTCTGCACCTGGACAAGGCACCGACCGCAGCGTGAGCAGAGCACAGGCCCCGCTCTGCACCGCACCGTGCTCCTGCAGGATCCGAGCATCCACACCGCCTGCACAGAGGCAGCTCCACAGCACCTCCCAGCCACGGACCCCACCACGGACCTGCACACACACGGACCTTCTGCACAGACAGGAGCAGCGGCTCGCGTCTGCTCACCTGAGCACGGAGTCAGGACCTTCAGTGCGGCACACATCAGCATCTGCAGGAACCACACGGACTGTCTGCACGTGAACTTGGAGGATAAGGAAGGAACGAGAAGCTAAGAAAGGATGCACGGGCCCGGCTGAGAAGTACCAGAGACACCACATCCAGGAGAGAAGGCAAGCGCCGTAACTCAGCGTGCTCCTGAGACCGGGACGAAAGTTTGGGAGCGATGAAGACTTTCAGCCCTCCTCCCTCGACCCCCAGATGACAACAGAGAAGCTATCACAGCATTAAAAAAATTACAGCCTGCAAAATAAACTTTGTGCTTCATTAAACCAGTGGTGCTCCTTCCATCTCGTGACGTCTGTAACACAAGCCTTTTGGGGGAGAGTTCACTTGTTTTCATCATCTCCTCCTGTTTATGTATCTGTGTACTTTAGCATCGCAGAACGGTTTGGGATGGAAGGGACCTTGGAGATCACCTCGTTGCAACCCCTCTGCTGCAGGCAGGGACACCTCCCTCTAGACCAGGCTGCTCACAGCCCCATCCAGCCTGGCCTGGAGCGCTTCCAGACAGATGGCATCCACCACCTTACTGGGCAACCTGTGCCAGCGTCTCACCACCCTCACAGGAAAGAATTTCTTCCTAATATCAGGTCAAATCTCCCTCTTCCAGTTTAAAACCGTTTCCCCTCCTCCTGTAGCTGCATGCCCGCATAAAAAGTCCCTGCACAGCTTTCCTGCATTTTGTCACAACAACCCTACAGCCTTGGGGAGGAGTGGCTGGAAGCTGCCTGACGGAAAGGGACCTTGGAGGACTGATGGACAGGCGGCTGAATGTGAGCCAGCAGTATGCCCAGGGGGCCAGGAAGGCCAATGGCTTCCTGGCTTGGATGAGGAATGGTGTGGTGAGCAGGACCAGGGAAGTCATCCTGCCCCTGTGCTCGGCACTGCTGAGGCCTCACCTCGAGTGCTGGCTTCAGCTTTGGGCAGCTAAGCACAGAAAGGACACGGAGGTGCTGGAGCAGATGCAAAGAAGGGCAACAAGGCTGCGGAAGGGCTTGCAGAATATGGCCTGTGAGGAGAGGCTGAAGGAACTGGGGCTGCTTGGTCTGGGGAAGAGGAAGCTGAGGGGAGACCTTATGGCTCTCCTCAAATACCTGAAAGGTGACTGCAGTGAGAGCAGGGCTGGACTCTTCTCACTGGTGACAGGATGAGGGGAAATGGCCTCAGGTTGTGCCAGGGGAGGTTTAGGTTGGACATCAGGAAGAACTTCTTTACAGAAAGCTTCCCAGGGAGGTGTGGGGAGTCAGCATCCCTGGATGTGTTTCAGAACCGTCTGGCTGTGGTGCTCAGGGACATGATTTAGTGGTGAATGGTTAGTTAGGGCAGTGTGGTTGGGCTGAGGTGGGACTTGATGATCTTGAAGGTCTTTTCCAACCTGAGCAATGTTATGATTCTATATTCCTATGTGCCCCGTTCAGGCCCTGGAAGGCCACTATAAGGTCTCCTCAGAGCCTTATCTTCGCCGGGCTGAAAAGCCCCAGTTCTCCATCCTCCAAAGCAGAAGAAATTGAGCAGAGGAGGCGAGCGACCAGCATGGCTAAGCACGGACCTGCAGCTTAAACTGAGGGCAAAGAGAGAGATGTACAGGAAGGGGAAGCAGGGTTGTGCAGCCTGGGAAGAATATCAGGACGTTGTGCACATGTGTATAAAGATGATCAGGAAAGACAAGGCACAGATAGAGGCGAACTTGGGATGGGATGTGAGAAATAACAAGGAGGGGCTCTGCAGGTACATAGGCAGGAGGAATCAGATGTAGGAGAGCATCACACCTCTGCTAAATGAGGACGAAGAACTGGCTTCCTCAGACATGCAAAAAGCTGAGGTGCTCAATAAATGCTCTGCCTCGGTCTTCACTGGTGGTCAGGCTTCTGCCTGTGTCTGCCTGCACCCTGAAGCTCCAGGTGTGGGTGAGAGGAGCGGATTCCAACCCACTGTTACAGTGGAACAAGTGGGAGAGTTCCTCGTGAAGCTGAATGTGTGTAAGTCCATGGGGTTGGATGATAGCCATCCTGGGGTTCTGAGAGAGATGGCTGATGTGGCTGCTGAGCTGCTCTGCATCATCTGCAAAATATAACGGCTGTCCAGTGAAGTCCTGGTGACTGGAAAAAAGGAAACGTTACTCCCATTTCTAAGAAAGGGAGAAAGGAGGACCTGGGGAACGACATGCTGGTGAGCCTCACCTCTGTGCCTGGGAAGATCACGGAGCAAATGCTCCGAGGAGCTGTGTTAAGGCACATATAAGATAAAGAGGTGATTCAAGACGCTAGCATGGCTTCTCCAAAAGGCAGACCGTGCCTGACCAATCTGGTGGTCTTCTGTGATGGAGTGACAGCATCAATGGACAGGGGAAGGGAGGTGGATGTCATCTACCTGGACTTCTGCAAGGCTTTTGACGTGGTCCCTCACCACATCCTGCTCTCTAAATTGGAGAGGTGTGGGTTTGAAGGATGGGCTGTTCGGTGCATTAAGAATTGGTTGGCTGGATGCAGCCAAGGGGCTGTGATCAATGGCTCTGTATCAGGGTGGAGGCCGCTCACAAGTGGTGTCCCCCAAGGCTCAGTCTTGGGACTGGTGCTCTTCAACATCTTCATCAGTGGCACAGATGATGGCACTGAGTGCAAGTTTGCAGGCAACACCAAGCAGAGCGGAGCAGTTGATATACTGGAGAGAAGGGAGGCCATCCAGAGGGACAGGCTGGAGAAGTGGGCCCATGAGAACCGAATGAGGTTCAATAAGGCCAAGTGCAGGGTGCTGCATCGGGTCGGGGCAATCCCAGGCATTGATACAAACTGGGGGGGGATCTCCTTGAAAGCAGCCGTGTGGAGGACTTGGGGGTCCTGGTGGACGAGAAGATGGACATGAGCCAGCAGTGTGCGCCTGCAGCCCAGAAGGCCAACTGTGTTCTGAGCTGCATGAAAAAGGGGCGGCCAGCAGGGACAGGGAGGTGATCGCCCCCCTCTATCGGCTCTTGTGAGGCCCCATCTGCAGCGCTGCGCCCAGGCCTGGGGTCCCCAGTACAAGAAAGATGCAGAGCTCTTGGAACGGGTCCAGGGGAGGGCACTGAGATGTTCAGAGGGCTGGAACAGCTCTGCTGTGAGAAAGGTTGAGGGAACTGGGCTTGTTCAGCTTGGAGAAGAGAAGGCTCTTGTGGCCTTCCAGTATTTGAAGGGAGCACATAAACAGGAGGGGGAACGGCTGTTTGTGAGGGTGGATGGTGATATGATGAGGGGGAATGGTTTTAAAGTGAGACAGGGGAGGTTTAGGTTGGATATGAGGAGGAAGTTTTTCACACAGAGGGCAGTGAGGCACTGGAACAGGTTGCCCAAGGAGGCTGTGGATGCCCCATCCCTGCAGGCATTC